GGTTAAAAAACTAAAGAAAAATACCCTGAAAAGGAAGTTACCAGGAGGAGAAAAACTGTGTGTGGAATAGGCCAGTAGAAAGCAATTGTAAGGATTTCAGAGATTTCTCAGTTTCAGAGTAAGACCTACCTGTCTTGCTTGTAGTCAAGTCTTATTCCTTTGTTAGATTTGCTTATATATTTTGATAGATGACAAAAGAACAGCCCATATGTGTATTAAAAGAAATTATGGATTTAAGTATTAATATTTCTATCTTTTTGTCTATTGGGAGCATATTAACTTTTCTTTTGAAATTCTGTAAAATATTTCAAAATTTAATGCTGTTTGCCTGAGGAGACAAAAAGCAAAAGAAAGTAATATTTTTGGATAATGAAAAGCAACAGAGTATGATACATCCTTTTTCTTCTAAATTTATCTTTGATTTGATGGCTTTAACTTTATAGAAGTAATTTTAAATTCTGTAGTAGTATGTAATTGGAAATATAATTCCACCAAAGTAATTATTGCCTGGTGTATCTACAGAATTAAGATAAGTATGGTTTGAGTGTGAAGGTTTTGCTTGCCTTGCTCTTATACTGGAATGGTCATTGTCGATAGCGCTGTGGAACACCACATGGTTTGCCTTCCATCAAGGCAATAAGGGCAAACAGAGTTGAAATGTATGAAAAACTACATGCTCATGTGCTGAAGATGCAAGGAAAAGGGTCGTCGTTTCATCTAGGTGAGAAGGGGAAAGAATGCAGGATTATATTGATTTTTTTTTTTTGGTGTTTTTTTTCTTCCCAGGTTAAAAGGGTAACCATTCTCAAACTCTAAGCACAATAAGTTTGCAAATGGCTTTACTGATTAAAAATGTTATTTTTATTTACCCCAGCACATTTATATTTGAAAAGGGTAAGCCACAGGTAATACCATGTAAGTACTTGTTACAAAAATGGATATTTCTACTAGGTCAAGACAAACTGTTAGCTTGTGATTCAAAATATTTAGCACCTTATATTTTGTAAGCTCACGCAGAGCCTAGTGTTAATATTTATGTGAAGTGAAACCAGACTTGAGTTGGCTGTTGTGATTGTTTAAATACCTTTTATTTGAGTGTAATGGAGCATTTTTTATTTATGCGTCATAACCCTGCCAAGCAAACTGTTGGCTGCAGTTTTAGTTTCTCTGGATTGTAGTATTTAACAAACTCAGGATGTTTCCCTTAATCTGTAGCCTCGTTTGTTATGGTGTACTTTTGTTGAGCACGTGTAACTTATGAAAATATCTCATGCTCATAGTTCAGAATAAGGCAAACTCCTTCCTTAGGCTTAAGCCTTCTAGAGTCAAAGGTGTTACTTTTTCTGTCTTAAGACAGTAAATTAAGAAAGACATAAGTGAAACTATTTGGAAGGGCAAATCACAGAGCAGAAAAGTTAGAGAGGCCAGGGATGATGAGGATGGTTATCTGATATGGTTCAAAAAAAGGTTCTTTTTTCTTTTGCTTTAGAAACTAGCTGAATGTGTTTGGATTCATGGCAGAAGTAAGACTTAGAATAAGATTTAACTGAGGGGATACTTTTTTCCTTTTTAAATACATGAAATGTTTGTTCTAAGGTCAGATCTTTAATGGTAAGATGCTGTATTTGACTTCCAGAATGAAAGCCACTGATGATAGAGAATCATTGCTCTTTTCTAACTGTTAACATTGAAGTGGAATTTTGTTCTGAACTTCTTTGTCTTTATTAAAATGTCACCCAGCCTATGTGAGGCTCGATTGTAGCAGAATAAATTAGGGTTTACATTTGGATAAAAACCCATAGTACTGTAGGAAGGAGAGTGTAAATGATACGTTTCTGGTTTAGTTAGAAAATAAGGACAGCAGCATGATTTTTAGGTTCCATGGGGTTGTAAAATGTTTTGAGTATGGTCTCAGCAATAGTGTTTTGTGATTGTATGATTAACAGGCACTGAAATATTGATTTTATTTGTTTTGAAGCCTAGAGAACCTATGTAGCTATGTAACGTATGGCCTTTTGGAAAATGACTACACAACAGGGAAAAATGGTCTTAATATACACACTGGCTTTAATATTGATACATTTGGTCTCAAAATGACTTTTATTAAAGGGGCTTGGGAGTTTGAGTTTGAGGCATGTTTACCCTGGACAAGTAGAAGCAATTTTATCAGTTATAGGTAATAGTAACAGAAAAGCAAAAATCACAATGTTAATTTTTACTCTGGATTCTATCCCTTGTACTGAATAGTTCTTTGGGATCAGTAGGTCATGAAAACTTTTTTTTGCATAGTTGGTCACTCACTGTGGATAAGAACTGATATGCCACTGATATTTAATGGAAGAAGGGATGTGACAGAGGGTGGTGAAGAAGAAATATGAGCATGTGAAGTAGATAATAGGTAATAGGTTTGGCTAGCTGCAACATCATGTGCCCAACCTCAATGTGACCACAGAGAGAGGGTACCTTCTTCAAATGTCTCTCATCCCACAGCAGGAATCAGTGCGTGGGATATGCAGCTGACCTGAACCTCAAATTGTAAAAGTTCACCCTCGTGTGTTAAACTAATAATGCCAATTTTAATTTACTGTTACACTGAGCACTGCATATGATGATGATCTGGGACTTACTGTGAGCTCTGTTCACTTCATGTTGTGGTAGAACTGAAAACGCTGTGAAGGGAAAGAGTTTATACCTACTTGAACCTCCATGTTGCACCTATTGCCACAGCTTTCCTGAGGTTCACCCCTGACTGTGGAGCTTACAAAGGTGAATACAGTTTATTGCCAATCTCACTACTCAAGCAGAGTCTTGAAGCCATCTCATGATGTACTGTTCTGTAATAGTTTTATGCTAGTTGAATTTGGAGGTATAACCTAAAAAATAAGCAGTTATTTTGATCCTTCTTTTTTTATTCTAAGCAGCCTTTTGTAGTATGTGTGTAGTTGGAGCGCAGCTCCTAGTGAGCTGAACTGTTGGTATATGCACTCTATTTCATCAACTCTTTTAAAGCAGGAATGCAGAGAATGAAAAGCATGCAACTAGTAACTGCAGTATGGAAAGTGTGTGTTAAATGAGTTACTTGTCATCACATAGGAACATGTCAAAAACACAGATACAGTTCTTTCCTTCAGAGCAGCATTGGGCTATCTAAGTCACAGGCCAAGCTTTTTCATTGTGCTGTTTTCTGAGTTATTCATAACAAGCCTCTTTCAAAGCTCAGTTAAAGAATGTATTAAGGTACATCTCCTTCAACACATAACCTCGAATTCACTGGTAGAAATTGGTGAGGTCGTTGTAAAGAGCCATACATGACATTTTAATTGCAGTAAAAGTAAGAAAAGGATTGCTTTATAGTGTCATAGGAACTACCCAGTCTAGTAAACATCAACTTTTCTGAATTCTTCGTTGCTGTATTACAGTTTAGGCAATTTAGTAATTATTTTCTCTTGCTTAATAAAGATGCATTTCCTGTTGCAATTTTATGCCATTTCCTCTAGGATTGGTACCTATTTCGTTCTTCTTTTAAATTAAATAGAAGGTTGATTTTTATGTTGAGTGTGTTGGGAATTTTAGCTGGCAGACCTCTGCTATTTTCTGCACCCCGTACTTGCACGTGCTCCTGACAGTTGTGAAAGGAAGGTAGGAGTGCGGACAGGAGAAACCCACACTGTGCTCTACTGAGTCGCATGATCGGTGAGTTTGTGATTTGGAGCAATACTCTGGCGCATACCTACTGCAGACTGGCCATTGGCTTCTTGGTCATGAGCCTTCATCTGCTGCAATTAGTCTTTACAGCATCCTTGCTTCCAACTGAAGCCAAGATAAGTTTACAGAATATCGACAATTAAAACTGTCATGTTAAATGTCTTGACGTGGTGACATCCCTGAGCCAGCAATGTGGCTTTGCAAGATTTCTTCATCTGATGCTTTTTTCCAGATCTGCATTCATAATTTTTTAAGAAATAAAAAGTGGTTTAATTTTTTCTGGACAGAATTGTTTATAAGTCTTACCACACTGGCTTTACTTTGCTATGTGGATTTCAAACAAGTGGTAACACATAGTAGGTACTGTCTTATTTTTTTTCTACTGTCTGCTACCTCACAAATCTGCAAAAGGTCGGTTACTCTTCTGTATCGTCATAAAGAAGAAAGAATGATTGGAAGCTAGACAAGTAAGGCAAGGAACATTTATTTTTATTTTTTTTTCACTTTTTTCTTGGACTATGAAAGGCTTTTTTAAAAGCTCAGATGCATATGACCACCTCTTGATCTATATGAACTCTGAAGTATGTTTACCAGTGAAATAGTGCAATCCAAATTTCTTTAAACTATCACATCGGTGATTAATTGCGTATCTTGTGACACTGGCAAGATGACAACTCAGTGTCAAGCTGTGATGAAATTTTATATTTTTAGTTAATTTTAGTCTCTCCATTTAAATGTGTAGTACTGCATTTCTCTTGGCCAGAATTTGGATAGTTGGAATGGTTCCTATTGAACTGTGTATTCTTCCTTCAAAGAGTTGGGGGTGGCAAGGAGAAGAGAGAGTAAGTGCTGCTAAGTTTTAAAAGCTTTGGTATTTTGAAAATCGTGGGCCTTAGTAGTTTGGGATTGACTTTAACTTAATAAACAAAACACAGCCATCTAAATATGGTACTTTTTATTAAAACAAGATCTCTTTTCAAACTTGGTGTTTTGAGGCAACCCTCAATAATGTTTGCAATGCCATTTGAGATACAAAGCAAAAATGTATTTCATGTTTCATTGCTTGCAGAGGAGGAGGAAACTGTACCTCAGGAATTTGACTTCATCCCCCAAAACATCTGATGCTTATCTTGCATGTGAATTTTTGTAAAAATTACATGGATGAAATACTACATGAAATATTTTTAATGTCGCTATTAAATTCTGTGTTAAAAATGTATGTCATGTGTGATTATTTTTTATTTATAAGCACATATGTAGAAGTGCAAACAGTGTTTTCATTTATTGCTTTTCAGGGGATATAATTTTCAATGCTCACTATCCTGACCTGCCACCAGATTTTATCTTTGGAGAGGATGCTGAATTTTTGCCCGATCCTTCTGCCTTGCATGTAAGTACTTTACTGTTTGAGAATTTTACACCATGCAAGGAGTCTTGACTTTTCTAGAATAGCTTCAGCAACAGAAATTTTCCAACAGTGCAAAATAAATATCTTTTATCTCACTTTTGTGTGAGTATAAACACATTGTTTTCTAATGTGATTTAAAGTTGCATCTGTAAATGGCAGGGTGGTGCCTGTTAAAGCATTTTAATCAGGACAATATTACCTTTACAATAACTATTTGGAGTATCTGTTAAAATATGTCTATTTAATATCTTAAATGATCTGTCTCAGAAAAAATGATTGATAAATTGTGTCTTTAAAAAGCATTTATTTCTAAAAAAAAGAAGTAGCATAATTTTGTGTAACGATGTCGATTTTCGTTTTCTTGTGAGGAAGCGAAGAACCAGGTGGTATGTTATGGCAACTCCTGCATATATGTATATAAATTATATATATATAATTATATATATTATATATATATTATAAATATATATATATAATAAGGTGTATATATATATATAAGTTATATACATATGTATATATATAAGGTATATAGCAGTCACTGGTAGAAACACAAACCTGGGAAGTGTCTTTTAATTGAACTTCTTGCCTAGGGGAGGGGCTCTTTGTGCAGTCCTCTCTCATGCAACCCCTCTTATGCTTTATGAGCATGTCTCCAGAGCTCCCCAGAGAAGTCAGAGGCTGTTGTGCTGTGTTACAGATGTCATGGTGGAGGAGTGTGAGGCAGTGGCCTCAGAGTTGAACATGTCCTTGATGTGTGACTTGGCAAATGCTGGTTTTTGGTTCTACCTTTATTCATTTCATAGTAAGTTATATATAAAAATCTTTAAAGTATTAGTTTGAATAATTATTTTGAGCATACCTAACAGAACTTTTAAAAGGTGAATGTCATATTTCTTTTCTTTCCCCAATCATTTTCCTGTTAACCTCACAAACTCCTTTGGGAAGTAGGTATGGTGCTGATGAACATCAATTTCATTAGGCTTGTTTATAGAAAAGGTTTTACTTTCTATGACAATTCTAAAATTGTTTTCACACTCCTTATTTACCAGTTCTATTTTCCTCTTTTCCTCTTTTGTTTCACATTCTTACAACCTCCTGAGAAATGTTCATATTAGCAACCACTGTCTGCAGTTGACGTTAAAGGAAAAGGAGGACTTCTTAATGTACTGGAAAACTGAAAATAATAACAAATAGCAAATGAGATATGAAATAAAGACAATTTTGGGCATCTTGCAGAAATGCTGTTCAGATGGAGAAGCTTGCTGAGAGTGATACGGTGTTGCATTTCTCATGTGAAAAGGAGTCCCTAGCAGTAGTGATCCGCAGGCAAACCTGCAAGAATAAAAACATACTTATTTTTCTTTCTTTCTTTTTTTCATTGTTCATTAATGATGCTTCTTTTGGGAGTGTTGCTTTTCTGCCTAAGCACAGAACAAACTTCCTGTCCTCTTTGTTGGGAAGCAACTTGAAGAGCCATTTGCTTCTTGATACATAATGAGGTATTAACCAGCCTATTTAAAATTAATTGAAAGAAACCAAAGAAGAAATTTGCAAACCAACAGTTTTTGTTTTATGTTAGTCATTATGCCTTTCTATAGCATTCACTAGGTAAATGTAATCACTTTTGATAAGGTCCTTGGTCATTCTCCTGCAGTCCATCTGATGGTATGGAATGTGTTATCTCCACCTTGCAGCTTTGGTCTGTATAGAGTACTTTTGCTTTCACATTTGCTGTTTAATGTTCCCTCTGGTTTGTAGAGTTTTTCTTCAGAATGTTACATTAACAATAACTTGGTTATTGTGCTAAATCTTTGAATAGCTCCCTTTTTTCCCACAAATGTGAGAACTGTTTAATGAAGATAATTTTAATCAAATTCTAAGACATTAGCAGAATTCTTTAATGCTTTAACATATCTTTCTACTGACTAGAAGTAAAATACAGATTAGCACATTGACCGTAATTTAATGCTCCTAATCTTGAACAATCTTCAAATACTTCTGATGCAACAGTTCCTGGCAATCAAAACAGAATCTACCATGCACAAAAGCATGTAGATTTTATTAAATGAGGAGTACAGTCTCCGAGCAAGTAATATGTGCCGTTGGATCTGTGGGAATTCTGACATTGAGCCTTTATGCGCTGCTCTTGTCTGCCTGAGTGTCTCGTTTTCCAAGAAGTCATCACATGCTGTTGCATGGCTTGAGTCAGGCATTATGCTTAGCTTGAGACAAGAACCAGGTACTCCAGATTCCACAAGCTCGTGTGGCTCTAATAGAAGCTGGCAGTAGACTTCCCTGAAGACATTTGAATGGCTGTGTTGCAGATCAGTCACTCTTCAGTTTCCATGGCCATGGGCAGACTTTTGAGTTAGGTTTTCATTTGACCGTGGTAACAGGTGTTCAGTTAAGCAGCTGTTAGCCAGACAGCTAAAGCAAGATTCCAGAAATACTGCATTTTAAAAAGTAGATGCTGTAGATGAAGAGTTCATGGTATCTTTTTTTTTTCCCCAGAGAATTCCTAAATGGTTGGACCGGCATTTCAGCAGTGGGGTGATATGTTGAGCACTCTTGTTGTTACAGACAGAGATAATCAACTGTGTTCTTTCATTGACAATGCAATTGCAGAATCAAGCTGAAAATGCTCATTAAAACTCATCTTTGCTTTTGTGCCTTGCACAAATATTAGATGCTTGGGTTTGAAACTCTGCTGGAGTCTCAAGTTCAGCACCACAAAATATATGCTTCATTACGTGTTTTACCAGAAGTAGTTACTCTGCTGGTTGCAGCGTCTGATTGTGTGCATGCTCATCTTCTAGAATGATGTAGGCAACTCAACAGAGGGGCAAGTGGTCCATTTATTTTGGTTTGTCATATAGTATTAATTACAGTCTGAGGGCTAGCTTCTTTAGGTTGGTGATGCTGTTCATGCTCAAAGCGTTATTAGAAATAAACAGTTTTATTCTTTATTCGCATTAAAAACGTTTTCCTGTTGAATGCATTTGATACCTGTGTGCCTAGCAGGCATAAATAAAATCAGCTTCTCAGAATGTAAATAGGAAAGTTCTTCCCTGCTCTAGTGTGTATTCATTTTGGATGACAAGTATTAGAAATGTATTTTAAAAACAACCTATGATTCACTCCGTTCTGATTAAAAATCCAGTTGGCACACAACAAGATTAGTGATTGTGTACGGATGAGATTAATTTGGAGCTCATTACAATGACGCCAGTTTGAGTAACAAGAATTGTTTGTTATGTTAGCCTAGCTGATTGTTAATTTGAGCCAGTTAATAACTGAAGTGCTTATGCAAAATGTTAACCCCATTTTTCCAGTGATTTTGAAATATCCTCTGTTTGGAGGAAAAAAAAGAGGAGACAGTAGTAGTGCGTACAAGCTAACAGTAGTGTGTACAAGCTAACTGTCAGTTCAAGGATTTGGGTTTCCAGCTAGTCTTCCCAGAATTATTCTGCCCACCCATCACTGTTGCAAAGGCTTCATTAGCCTTAGTGGGAATGGAGACAAGAGAACATGAGCATTTCCTGAAACCTGCTAAGTGCTGAATATGTCCTTGTGGGGTAGTGTATGGTATATTCCTTTTGGGAATACTTTGTGCTGCATTTGCGTGGAAGGAAGACATTGTCATCACAGAATTTCAGAGAATGGGCCGCTGCAGTTGTCGTGCTGGTACCTAGCGCTGGAAAGATTGTTTGCCCTTGTCTAATTGCTAATACTGAGTACAGATTGCAGTCATTGTGGAGCTGATTGACCTAATTTTGCTACTCAGGTGTATTGGCTATCATGCTCTATATCTTGCAAAGACCAATGTTTGTTTTAAGTTCTTGTATTTGTGCTTATTAGACTCCATATTTATCATTTGGCTATATGATACTGTTGTGAAGGTTGTATTGTTTTCTATGTCTTTGTTCAAAGTCTTAATCGTTATTTCTGTTGGTTGCTGAGTTAGCTTTTAATGGGTAGTGAAGAGATCCTTTAAATATCTCTCTCTTCCATTAAGTGTTCTTCATTTACTGTCAGGTGCATGAGACAGATGTTTAACAGTGTCAGTTGTTCTCCTGCTCACAGTAACTACAAAAAAGCCCAAAAACCCTTTATATTAACTAATGCTGTTTGACCTGTTTTGTTTTGAAAAGTCTTTTCAGTTGTATTGTTAGCAAAGATGCAGGTGATATGTGTTCTAGTATGAAAGCCCCACATAAGGCTATGACCACGATGGTTTTCAGCGTATGATTTTAAAGTTTAAAGCCACAGTAGTGGGTTCTCTTCATCTGGGAAATGCGTGGATAGGTTCGAACTGTTTTAGCATTGTTGTCTCTTCTGCTTACTCTAATTTCAGATGGCAGCACAAGATTTCATCCTTGGACCCCTAGCCTGCTACTCTTGTAGTGAAAGCCTTAAATTAGTTTGGCTTCAGTTGAACTTGGGAAATTTAAGAAAAACAGAATGCAGGATTGGATCCTGGATGTTATTAGAAGAGAGTTTTTTCCTATTTTGAACTTCTTTATATTCACATTTTTTGTGTTTACTTCTCAGTCATATCCTGACTTTATATGTCAAGGAGTGTTTTGATTATTTATAATCCAGTGTTACTTATCGTTTTATTCTATAAAACTAACATGAATTCTGAAAACTATTTATTCCTTTCTCTCTCTATTGATCCTTACCTATTTGTATATATGGGGGATGTTTGTATGTGTGCATACATATTGATGTATACATGCATATAGTCACTGTGGCCTGCCTTGCTGAGATTGGTCTGGTATGGATAGGCAGTGGTAACAAAATCACATTTTATACCACCAGGCAAGTAATTTAATTCAGGAACTTTCCCAGAAGAAGGGCTTTATGACTGGTATTGTTGGCATTTATTGTATACGTTTTTGTCCAATTTTTCAAACACTAGAGATATGCCAGTGCAACATTCCTTTCTGAGCCAGATCTGAAAGAATCTAATTTTGAATGTA